GGGGGGCAGGGGGCAAAGGAGGGAAAGCAGAGGAGGAGGGGAAGCAGGAGCGAGTCAGGGAGGGGCCGAGAGGAGAGGTCTACGGGCAAACCTTCGAGCCAGGCTAACCTGAAAAGACAACCAGTGGAGAATTTTCAAGAAAATAACGTGTGCTGGGCAATGGCCACCCCATCCCAACCTCCCTGGAAACCTTAAGTAAATTGACTTCGCTTACTCTTAGGCAAGGAGCAAATTGCTTCCTGTGGCATGTGCAAAAACAGGTTTGCCAGGAGGGAAGCCATGGGTACTGTTTACACACTTCGGGAAGGAATAGGGAGTGTGTCATCTCTTGCTTCTCCCAGGCTGCTGCTTGGCCAGCCGGAGGCCCCTCTCAGTATGGGAGGAGCAGGGACCCTGTTTGCTCGCCCGGGTTTTCCCGTTTATACCCCTCCTCTGGGATGTTGGAGGGGCCTCAGGATGGAGAACGTGGAAATGGGACCGTAAAGCTCACTGCTGCCTATGATGGCCTTGGTTCTAAAGGAAGCCAGAGAAAACTCTCAGGCTCCTGGACTCACCCCAAACAGCGAAGTCACTTGGCTTTGGCTTCTAGAATGTGCAAGAGCAGGGCAGGGCCCTCAGAGTGCTGGCGTGTGGTAGAGGGCTCTGTGTACACACACAGTTTTATATGTCAAGTCTATTGTTTTTACAATGCAAGTTATAGAAAGTACATTCAGTTGGGCAAGTCTTTGGGTCTGGTGCCATGGGCTCTCTCCCGAATGGAGGGGTTATCCGGTTCCCCAGGTAGAGAAGGGCAGCTGTGGGACTTTCGTGAGTACTGAGCTGAAGGAGGAGGGGACTGCGCCGTGAAATACTGTCAGCTGCCGTTTGGAGCTTTGGTTTTCACGTCACAAAAACTCGCAGGTGTGGCCTTCCTGCTCCTACAGGCTCCCCTCCCTCTGATGAGTGTTTCGCTTCGTCCTGCTATAGGAGTGATTACAGAAGTAATTGGAAAGAAAGTGGGTTTGGGGCAAGTTGTTTTGTCCCTTTAAAACAAATCTTTTTCTTAATCATTAAAGATTGTTGTACAATCGATTGCACAGTACCTGACACACAGGTGTTAAGAACCTTAGTTCCGATTGTGCACAGGCTCTGCTCAGGGTCCAGAACGTACCTGCTTTTTGTCCTGAAGCCCATGTCTACCTTTTTACTGACCCACGGCCACATCTTACCCACAATGCATTTAAGATGGCATATAGCCAGGTAGGTTGTTAATCAATCATTTGTGAATGAACCCGACTTGTTCGGTGAGTTCTCTTTGTCAGGAACAGTCATGCTTTGCTTCTGGAGATCTTATCTACTGTGCTGTGGGACGGCCTCGCGCTGATGCATATAAATACTGCCCCGCTCCAGTCCGTGGACTTGGGCTGAGGCGGCCTTGAGAGGTAAGACTGCATGATCCAGAGGGAAGCTGGCGGCCCTGTGAGGAGCAGCAGAGGCCCGCTCCCAGCCACCGACTGGATTTCCTCCTAAAATCCTCCGCAGCCAGCTTGGAAAAGCCAGAGACACATACCTGAGTGGGCGGAGTGCCAGTGGGGAGCACTGAAGGCACATCACGGAGTCCGGTAGGAGGGGGGCGTAGGAAGGGGGAGGCCCCCTGAAGCCTGTGCTGGGCGCCGAGCCCCGAGGCTTGGAGGCTGCAGGGCTCCCTCCCCTCGGGGGTGCGGAAGGCATCCAAAAGCGGGGATCCCAAACTCCGAGGCATCCAAAAGCGGGGACCCCACACCCGGANTGCGGACGGCATCCAAAAGCGGGGATCCCAAACTCCGAGGCATCCAAAAGTGGGGATCCCAAACTCCGAGGCATCCAAAAGCGGGGATCCCAAACTCCGAGGCATCCAAAAGCGGGGACCCCAAACTCCGAGGCATCCAAAAGCGGGGACCCCACACCCGGAGCGAGGAGAGGGGAAGGAGCGCCTCGCGCACAGGGCAGAGGGACCCCGGGAGCGGAGAGTCCGCGAGGGGGGCGGCGCCTTCCTAGGAAATAAAGCTGCTAGTGGCGGATGTGACCGCCGTCAAATGCTCCGGGTGCTGACCGTAGGAAAGGCTGTCCCAAAGCGCTGGCACCTGAGTGGTACGGGACCCGAGGACTGCGCTGAGCAGCAGCACACAGGTACCCTCTGCCTCCCTGTGGGGCACTGTGCTGAGCCCCAGGGAGCGCTGAATCTGCGCGGCGTGGGGGAGGGGAGGAGCCCTCCCGCCCTGAGCCCCGGAGGGGAGACTGGGACCTGTGACCAGCCCAGGGGGCGCCGTGGTGGCGCTGAGCTCCGGGTGGGGAGAGGCTGGGACCTGTGACCAGCCCAGGGGGCGCCGCGGTGGCGGGTGGAGCCGCCCCAGCTTGCTGAGACCAGAGTGCGGGGAGCCGTGCGCGCTGACTTTGGGTCCCTCCCGCCGGCGCGGGCCCTGCGGGGCGGACTCTCCGCCTGTGCGTTGCTCTGCGCGGGTTTGAGTCTGATCGCGGAGCTGGCTCCCAGCTTCCGGGCGTGCACTTGCCCCGACTTACTGGAGAATAAGTCGCCCAGAGACCAAGCTGACCCCTGGGGATGTGTTAGCCGGCCACTGCGAGCGGGCTCCTGCCCGAAACAGACTCGCGGCCCGACCGGCCTCGGCAGGGAGCGCGCACAGGCGGAGCCCCCTCCTGGTCGGCTGGGGGACTAGCGCCGCGGCGGGAGAAGCGAGGGAAGGGGGACTAGCGCAGCGGCCGGAGAAGCGAGGGAAGCGGCCACTGGCTCCATTCGCTCCTCCCTGGAGCAGCGGCGGAAACCTCCCGCGAAGGCCGGGAGGGGAGGGGGGGGCGTTGTTCCTGCGGGATCAGCTCTGCTCCCGCTTCTCTGGGGACCGGGCGGGGAGGCAGGAGGGATGGGAGTGCCCCACTCCTGTTTGAAAAGTGTGATGAAAACGAAATCCTTGGTTCTTCGAAGGGTAGAGAATTACACTCAGTTCTGAGGATCATCAGCTTTAGGAGTCAATTCTGTCTCTAGCGCGGGGTGAGGCAGTTGAGGAGCNTGAGGATCATCAGCTTTAGGAGTTAATTCTGTCTCTAGCGGCGGGGTGAGGCAGTTGAGGGTCGGGCCTGGCGTCTGGGCGAGTGTAAGGAAGGGGAGGGCCCAGCTGCCGGGAACAGGAGCTCGCGAGCCAAGGGGACCGAGGGCAGATGCGATGGTATCAGGACCCGAGCTCTCAAGCTGCCTTCTGCGCTATCGCCGCGGATCCGGCGAGGCCGAGTCCGCCTAAAACGGGGAGAGGAGAGGGGCTGCTCGTTTCCAAAGAGTTACGACTTCACGGGGGGAAATAAGGGTGCCCCCTCCCANGCTCCCAAGCTGCCTTCTGCGCTATCGCTGCGGATCCGGCGAGGCCGAGTCCGGCTAAAACGGGGAGAGGAGAGGGGCTGCTCGTTTCCAACGAGTTACGACTTCACGGGGGGAAATAAGGGTGTCCCCTCCCGACCCCTGTAAATAGAGACCTGTGGTAGGACACATACAAGGAGACAGAAAATGGGATTATGGGGCTCTCGTAGTTTCTCAGAACTGAGACAGCGAGTTAGGCCCGTGGTGCATGCAAACCATGTATGGTTTGGGGCCGGAAAATACTGTCTAGTGGAGGGGAAAGAGGGGTTAAAATATAAAGTCGTGTTACAGAGGCCGGAATACGGGTGGGGGGCACTGGAACTGCTTTTAGTGAGGAGGCATAATCCTGGGCCTTGCATTTCTCCTAGCGCGAGGCAGTGGGGTCCTTGGTGGGAATTGGGCTGGTCCGAGGTCGGGGGAAGGGGAGAGATACCCCTATGCCTGGGTAGTAAGGAGGCCTGGAGGCTGGGNCTGGCCCGAGGTCGGGGGAAGGGGAGAGATACCCCTATGCCTGGGTAGTAAGGAGGCCTGGAGGCTGGGCACAGCCAGCAGTCGGAGCTAAGTCAGGGTGGGTTGAATTGATTAGGCGGTGCATAGCCGCTAAGAGGGAGGGAGGCCCACCTCTGCGGTGCTGGATTAGCGCCCNGTCAGGGTGGGTTGAATTGATTAGGCGGTGCATAGCCGCTAAGAGGGAGGCAGGCCCGCCTCTGCGGTGCTGGATTAGCGCCTCCGCGGTGCTGGATTAGCGCCTCCACGGTGCTGGATTAGTATCTCTGCGGTGCTGGATTAGTGCCTCTGCGGTGCTGGATTAGTGCCTCTGCGGGTGCTGGATTAGTGCCTCTGCGGTCCTGGATTAGCGCCTCTGCGGGTGCTGGATTAGCGCCTCTGCGGGTGCTGGATTAGCGCCTCTGCGGTGCTGGATTAGTATCTCTGCGGGTGCTGGATTAGTGCCTCTGCGGGTGCTGGATTAGTGCCTCTGCGGGTGCTGGATTAGTATCTCTGCGGTGCTGGATTAGT